TGAAATACTAGGATTTACCTCAGCATAAAAGTCCTGATTTTTTTAGTGGCATGATGAGAAGATGGAAATTCCTGAGCCAATTTTGCTGATGTACAACTAAATTCTGATTTACCCATATTTTAGATTAATACAGTTTTAATAAACAAAGGGAAAAATGAAGTTTTTGTCACATGGATATTGTGGAGGGTAATGCTTTTAACTTTAAATGATACTTGGAAGTTTTTTAATTTTTTTGAAAAGTTATAATAAAGTCTGTGCAATTAATGAGAAAAGTGTATGTGGTACAGTACAGAAGATATATTCAGTTAATCATGTGGCATCACTACACATAACTTAGGTGACAAAACATAGGAGTATGAAAATCACCTGTGACTGAGGTTGCCTCGTATTTTCTGTTCTAATCTCTGCTTGTAACTATTTATTTCTTTGTCAAACTTTAAATGCTCAGCCTGGTACATTTCTTTGCTGAGTATCTGCCTAAGATTTTTTATTTTACTCCTTGCTAGGTTTGGCAGAATGGTTCACACAAGGACCAGGCTACAGATAAATTGTTCTGGCTGGTGTAGGACTGTCCATCTTAAAAATTTTGCAGTCCTCCTTGGGAAGTTCTAGCAAGTTCAGCTTTAGCAGCAAGAACTCCAAGTTTGATTGGAGCCAAATGGTGTGCCTTACCTCTGTAATGAGGAAAAAAAACATGGCAAAAGAACAGACCTCTGAAAATTTTTGTGTGTGTCAAGTAGAGGTTTCTTTAATCAGTCATATTCTTCAGCTAGTCTGTCTGTACCAAGCATTCTGTGCACCCTGTGTGCAAACTAGGATGTGTTTGAGCATGCCTGTGTTCTGAGGTAGGATTTTGATCCAGCTATTGCTTTTCCCAGTAACTTGAAGTCACTGTGGTAGCAAGACAATTGGAGAGACTCTCAGTGCTCTTGGTTGTAGCACAAATGCAGGGTACAGGGTGATGACTTCCCTGGATATAGAAGGGTGAGGAGGGCAGGGACATACAAAACTGTTATTTCCAATAGTTCATAAACTGTGGTTGCTTAACTTTGAAATCTAAAGGAGATTAAGTTTTTTGTATTTAATTACATGCGTAAAATTAAGATAACCACAGTCTTGAATACTTTTAGGAGCTTGTTAGTGCAATGTCTTTCTGTCTTACATGCTTTATCTCAAGATAATAACATACTTTTTCCTCTTTCTCTTTTTTTTTTTCCTTTTTTTGGTTATAGGTACAGCCTCACTGTTTGGACAGGAAAGGAAGATGTGTATTCTGTAGAAGATTTGCTTTACATCCGAGAAAACTTTGATAAAAGTAGGGTATATTATGACATTTTAGAGCCAAAAAATTCTGAATTCAAAAAAGCCATAGGAGTAGAATAGTAAATACAAAGCAGGCAACATCTGACCTTATAATACTTAGCCTCTTTAAACATGAAGATTTCTTGTTCAGAGAAATGCATTTTCCTTACCAAAAGAATTGTATAGAACACACCTGTGGTTATTGAAGGAGTTTTTGTATAACACTTTATTGAAAAGATTCTCAAATAGAAATTTAATGCCTTCTTAATTGTTACTTACTCATCATATGCCTGTTCCCTCTCATTCACCCAGTGGCATGTGGCGAAGGCTACTCACATTTCCTAAATATTCTAGTACTCCTTCCCTGTGAGCATATAAAGGGGAGAATGGCCCCAGCTGATAGTTGTGGACCAAGGTAATTTGCTACTAACTGCTTTTGTGTAAGCCAAGGTCTATGGGATGCTCCATCGCTCTCTACAACTACCTGAAAGGAGGTTGTAGTGAGGTGGGTGTTGGTCTCCCAAGTAGTTAGCGATAGGACAAGAGGAAATGGGCTCAAGCTGCATTGGGGGAGGTTTAGATTGGATATTAGGAAAAATTTCTTCACGGAAAGGGTGGTCAGGCATTGGAACAGGCTGCCCAGAGAGGTGGTGGAGTCACCATCCCTGGAAGCGTTCAAAAAACGGGTAGATGTGGCACTTCAGGACATGGTTTAGTCTAGTCTGCCCTTAATTGGTTTAGTGTGGACTTGGTAATGTTAGGTTAATGGTTGGACTGGATGATTTTAAAGGTCTTTTCCAACCTAAATGATTCTATGATTCTATGATTCTATCTCTACTAAAGCCTCCCCTTTCATAGGGGAGGAAAAGAGTCAAGACTGTATTACCTATGCAGTTCCCAAAAGGGTTATTTTGTAGGTCATGTTGATATGCTCCATTTTCAATGCCATTGCATTGATAATGTTCTCACTGCTAGTAAACAGAAGATTCTCTTTGCTAGGTGTGAAGAGTGGGATCCATGATGCTACACATTCCAGGGAGAAAGAATGGTTATTTTTACTGAATTAAAACTAACCAGGTTCTCTGCAACGTGGTAATAGTGCATTCCGCACCATGGCTTGCCCCTGTGCTTTCCAAGCCATCAGCCACGTAGTCCTTGGATTGTGAGCAGGCTAAGTTGGAGTTGCAGCTGCACTGCAGGAGGTGCTGGGGCAAACAGGACCCCCAAAATGAAGAATTATCCTGTCCTGTACATAAAGCACAAAGATGGATTACAGTGAGGTACACATCAGAGACAGCATTAAAAGAGCTGTAGTGGTTTATAAGATAGAGAAGTGCTGGTGGTTCTTTCAAGATTTTTAAACTAATTTTTAAGTGTAACAGGAGTTCTGTAAAATGTTCTGCTGCAGTCTCTGAAAGCTAGAGGCTCTAAGAATGAAATAGCTGTACAGTGATTAGTGTTTACAGCAAAAATTGTACATTTATGTGATAGTACAGTTATTTTCTGCATTATCCTGGATTGTGCATCTTTTTCACTCTCAGAATGTGATTTCAAAAATTTTCAAAAGTTGAACTTCCCTTTGAGAAAAAATAAAATAATTGCAACCCTTACCACCTGCAGGAAAAGTCCAACCAATTTCATCTGAAGCATTTTTAGGCTCTCTTGCTTCTGCATCCCTTAAAACAAATACACATATTGAAATCTGTGCAGATCGAAACACAAGCTGTGTATTGTTGTCTTTTACCAAACATTACAAAGTTTTTTTTTCACAACGACAGAGGAGTTTTTTGATTTCTAAATGAAAGCTGATTCTGTGAAGAGACATTACGCTGGCATCTTCTTTCCGTCCTCTTCCTATTCCTCCCTTATGCATGAATTTTTTTAACTTTGATGTTTTACACAACACTGGACAGGCTGTAGTACTAAAGAGTTAATTACAGGAGCAATTTTTGGTTCTTACAACTTTTTATATAGATTTAATACAACTGTGATAGAAAAGTTAGTTATATTTATTAATCCTAAATCTGGAAATATGGTGATTTCATGCAGTCATTGAAGTTCAAGATTCCTTGTTGTTACCTACAGCTCCTTTGCCACATTTATGTAAAAACTGGTTTACATTATTGAGGGGTAGAGCTTTCATCATTTTTGTCACCTGCTAAGATATACTTGGGTAAAATTAGGAATTACTTTTCCAAATAAGGAAGAAAACTTCTAGTTGTACTTGGAATAGTTAAACAAAGTACTTAATTTAATTTACACAGTCAGGCAACGTGAATGGTGGTAACCACCGAAAGGTCAGGTTTGGCAGTGTGATTCCTTTTAATTGGAAGAAATGATTTATTTTTTAGTTCACTCTGACAACATGATCTGATCCAAACAGATTTAACCTCTCAGTTCTTTGTAGCATCTGTTTCTTTGAGTTTTGCATGCATACTTTGCTATACCATGGGAGGAAGAGAGATTAACTGTTTCCTGACAGTTGATCTTACCCTTTTCTAACCCAGATCATTTTGACTGACACAGGTTCAGGAGCTATTGCATGAACAGGTGTGCTAGCAGATCTGATCATGCGGTGTCCTTTTCTGGATGATGACCCTTTCACCTAACACCCCTTCAGGGAGAACCAGATATATGAATGACCAAAGCTCTGGTTAAACCAAAGTTATAGACATTGTTTTGAATCTACAGTACATACAATAAACTTGTAGGAAATAGTACAATTCAGAGTTTTATATTTTCTGGAATATACCATTGAATAAGAAGTACTTAGGGGACGTCAGCCAGCTTTTGGAATCAAATGCAACATAGCTGCATTAGCCAAAATGAGTCAGGCAGGTGTCGGAATGACAGAATTTGCTTTTGAGGGACATAAAGGAAATAGCTTGAGAAGACATGGTTGTAGCCATGTTCATTTATTGAATGAAAGGTGCCATTAAAGAGCATTGAGGTTTTTGTATTGCTCTTGTTGAACACTTTACTAGTTCTAGGCTTAGTCTAGATTTATTTTCAAGACATTGGTGGTCATTCAGAAGCAGCCATACTTTCTAGACATCCATTTATTTCTAATAAATTAAAAGACAAGTATCTCATTGTCCTTTTGTTCCACAATTTATATACATGTTTAGGACTGGAATGGACTCCTAGATCTTGCTTCAGCTCCTTGTTGCAGGCAGTTACATTTACTGACATGAGGGATTTCATCTTTCAGTTGGTTAGGCCTTTTTGTATCTACACTGGCAAACTTTTCTGTTATTTAGAAACCTTTTTCTCACTTATCAATAATGACCTGAAGTGTTAGGATTTGTTAAAACTTGTTAAACTATTCAGTAAAAAACATTATCAGCAACTGCCAGAAGTATTTTTAAGGGTGCAGACATCATGGAAGAAGTATCACTGAGCAACATATGTGGATATGACACATATATTAATAGGGATATTCAGATAAAATTAAAAGAAGACATGATCTGGAGTACCAGAAAATAACTGTCGCAAATACAGATTTGTGGATCCTGGCAGCTGCACCAGTTTGTCATGAATATGATTTTTTACACAGCTTTGGTTAGCAGCGATTTAATATTTATTAATATTTTTGAGATAGATCACAGTATTAGGTTGTATAATTCTTAACAGCACTTAAGCATCAGCCAATTTGAAACAGCGATTTGATGGAATTTGTTACAATCCAGATAGCAACTTAAGTTAAAGATTTGAGAATGGTAAGGTTCACTCTATTGCTAACATGGAAGAAGTGCACAAAGGAGAATTCAGCTACACTCGAGTTAGAATGATTAACAGAGGGATCGTGGGTGTGGGGAATAAGGGGGACCCTCCCGTTGAGTCACAAGGTTCAGAACAGACCCCCTTGCTTTCTAAACTCCTTCTCAGAGAGGAGTCTAGGTGCGGCTAGGTCCAATCTTAGTCTCAGACTTGGTCAATGGTTTATGTGAGTAGGGATAGTCTATATGGATATACATATAGCCAAATTGCACACACATACACACACACCCCCTGAGGTTAGCCTGTGATCAGAATTTCCCTTTTGTGAGTTTCATGAATTACTCTTATGTGCTGGCATTTGTCAACGGACAGTTAGTGAACCTCACGAAGTCAGTCCTTTGAGTCCTTCAGAAATCGATGGACAATCCTTCAATCCTCGCAAAATCTACCCTGAGAGGCATCTCATCTCAGCGGAGATACTGGGTCATACAGCCCACTGCAGTCCCGGAGAGCTCAGAAAGGTCTCCCTCTTGGATCACTGTTTATAGGATCTCAAGATGATTGGCTTTGGTCAGTATTTTACATTCTGGCCACAATTCGTGCTGAGTCGTTCTGGTACACAACTCAGGCAGCAAATAGCCCAGGTGTGGACAGAGATTGCCTGATGCCCAAGTCCTTATGACCAAGATAACAGCACAATAGGGCTTTTCCTGGGATCTCAGAGTGGCCCGGGGCAGGGGCGGACACTGCACCACCACAGGTAACAGGACATGTAAAACTAGATTAAACAAAATGCTAAAAACTAATTGCATGAAGCATTCTTGCAGTGACAGAAGGGTTTGACTGTATGGTGAATTTGTTTATTCTGCATGGATTGTCCTATGTATGTGAATTTCTGTGCGTATTCCTTTTTTTACCCATGGATCTCTTAGTTTCCTGTGAAGTCATTTATGTTGTTTATGTCAGTCTGGTCTGACTGGCATGTCAATAAATTCATTCAAATTTGTTCCTCTGTTTTCCTGCCAGTCTTTGTACAAATGCTCTCCTAAAATAAGATGTGTTAACTGCAGGGCTGGCAATAAGATAATAAGGTAAGATGAAAGCCACTTATTCATTCTGTTGGAAACAGGGATCTGTGGCAGTTCTATGTTACCCTAGCTGTTGCTCTTTTAATTTTTTTTTACCTTCTGTCAGTGATCTATTCCTTGTACTTAAAACTTTGTTTAGGAGCTATGAATTCTGCCACCTCGTGGAATCATGTTCTCTATCAGTGTTGCTTCATGTCTGTTGATATCTTTCAGCCAGGTTTTTAGACTTGATTGTCCTTGTTACATGAAAAATCTGGTTGACTTTAGTGGAAT